GGACCAATAGCGTAGTAAAGAACACACAGATTGCACTCCAAAACTGGGCAGAATAACCAGAAACTTACGCTTTAAGGAATGGAATCAGAATTTAGGTCTCTTGGAAAAAGTACAAATATCAAAAATTAGAAGAATGATTAAAACTCAATAGAAAGTATAGGATTTTACCTAGTTAGGAAAGACATACAAGTAGACACAAAATCGTTAAGAGCCAGGCAAGTAGAGTATAGTAAGTACGTATAATAATTACTTGAAAAAGTCTAAGCGTGTTGTAGGTCCTGAGCTGACAGTGGGAAAGCAGCTTAGCACTGTCTTTGTTTTTGTTTGCTCAGGAAACGATCACCACACTATATAAACAGACATGTGGTCAGCAAGAACAATCAGGCCATTGTTCGCAGCATGGTCAGTCTCTAACAGAATACCCCTTCCAGCTCTGGGATCCACTAATGAGAAGCGTGGGGAACTTGGAGAGGTTTCGGTGGGAAACCACAAAGATGATTAAAGGGTTATAACGTCAGACCTACGTGGAAAGGCTAAGACAATGAAACTGAGATGGTAGTTCTTAATGTGCCCTTCTCTTAGACTAAATTCTCTCTCTCAGTTCTGTACTAAAACATGACATTTTGTTCGAGTCCATGAAGTATGCATTTGTCATGTGATCTTCTGATTAATACTGTTTGTAGCTATGACTCCAGTCACATAATTATTTTATTTACCACTGGGTTGTGGGGCCAGAATTACTCAACTGAAAGAAGAGTAAGACAAGAGGGATTAGCAGGGAATTTCACGATATAAAGACCTCTCCCCAAGAGGCTGCTGTCCTGTTATTTTCTGTCGCCAACTGAAGACAATGGGTAGAAATGGTCTCAAACAAAAGCATGAGGGATTTAGATTAATATGAAAATAAGAGTTGGTAAACACTGAAACGGATCAGCAAAGGGGATTAAGGACCCCATTTCCCTGGAAGTCCTTCAAAAGGATATTAGGCTCTATCTCTCTGACATGGGTTATAGACTTAATTCCAAGATATAAAAACATCTAGGTGGAGAAGGAAAATGCAGCCATGTTACTATAGGACACCAAATGATTGGGTATAAATATTCTTCACCCTGTTACAAATGTGGTCCTAAAAAGCAGTATATTGATTGACCTTTTGAAATTAGCCCTTCTTTTAACTGAGAATTTTAAATGTGATAGAATTTGTGAAGGCCTTAAATATAGTCGAATATCAGCCATGAATCTTTTTTTTAGGATGGGAAAGCTCCTGTTCTAGTATCTGTTTTAGACTAATTAGAATATTGTTATATCAAGTTTGCTAAAAGCAAGACCCATGAATTGTTGAAAGTATCACATTATTGTGATCATTTTTCTGTCCAATGTTTCAATGTGTACAGATAAACCTAGTATGATTTTTTTGAAAGTATTAAGACAAAAATAATGAGTCTATGTAATATAAAAATGGGTCAATGACTATAAAATGATATGAACCAAGAGAAAAATGTTTTTGCAAACATAGCCCTTTGGGTTGTTCTTCTAGCAAATACCAACATTTGCTGAACATAGTCCTTTTTGACAATTCTCAACATTTTTTTCTTCAAGGCACCCACCTTACTATGAAATACCCAATTTGAATGGTCCCAGGGAGTGTGATTTTGGTTTGTTCTTTCCTGGGAACAAATAGTGAAACCGTTCTTTTGTCACCCTCAAGAGTGACAGGTCACAGAGAGAGAGAACTGGCATATAGTAGGGAGGAAGGCAGTGAGCTGGAGAATTAGGCTCCTTTAAGTTATGATCTGGTCTGATAAGAATGTTGGATGAACATTGGTTACCAAGGGGCTGAATATGAAGGAGTCTTATGCCTCAAGTAACAAAGTTAAACCAAAAATTCAGTTCATTCTCCTATGAAGGAAAAAGGAGCCTTTCATATTTCACAGGCTCCAACCCCTCTAAAAAATGCCAGTAGGAGAAGATATCAGAACATCAATTACAACTCTATCACCACACCACCAACAACAATAATATATAAAGGTTATCACTATGGTGGTTTCTATATATCATGCCCTATTCCAAGGGCCTTATATTTATTAGTTGATTTAATCTTCAAAACAACCCTCTGAAATAGATTTACTATTTTGATCATCATGATCCCTCTTTCACTCCCATCAGGAAACAAAAGCAACAAAAGGTTAAGGAATTGGGCTCTAGGTAACACAGCTAACCAATGAGAGGACAGAGCCAACCTGCTCCAAGGCTACCACCACAGAGTGTGAATACTAGTGGCCCAGGCATATCTATGTCTGTGGCCATCAAACAACAAATATTGAGCAAGGGCCTAGCCTTAGAGACAAACACAGCTATTTCTTCATAAAGCTACAGTCCTGCTGAGAAGACAGATGTTAAACAAGTAACCACGTGTGTGATCATCTACAGCAATATAAAATTGTCTTTAATGATGTTTTATATTATGTCCAGTTTTTCACATTGAATCAAAATGTGTAAAGTATCAAGCTTCAAGGGACTTCAGTGATGATCTAGTGAAGGCTTTTTATTTTGCTGTTTGAGACAGTGAGATGCCGGTGGTCTTGTGGTAATACTAGACAGCAAAGGCTCTGACCCAGTGCCCATGTTTTCTCCAGAAAGTGATGAGGAATTTCAGCTTCTTCAATTACTAAACACAGATGAGCTTCTCCTGAACACAAAAGGCTCTCCATATACAACCTTCCTCAGAAGCTTTAAAAGTACTCTTTTTTATATTATAGATTTTGTTGTTAGAACAGCCTCAATAGAGAATTCCTTTTTAAAGGGACAATAGCCTCTTTGCAAGCCATTAAGTCTTCTCCTAGTCCTCGAGTGCTATTTCCAGGTGAATCTCTGACACTAACCCAGTCCTTCCCTCCTTTGGCTTTCAGCCCGAGACAGTGATGGAGCTCAGGAAGATGTAGCATTAACTTCATATTCAGCTACAGGTAAATGTGCTCACCTGCGTTCCCCACAGAGGGCCATAGCAAGCACTCCTTCCCTATAAGAGCAGTCAGGCTTCATCTCCAATGGCTTTTACTGACCTGAGAGAGGAGTGGCAGGGCAGGGACATCCCTGCAGGCCTGTGGATCCTGAGCCATCTAGAGTAAGCCATACCAGGGTGGCACAACCAAGGCAAGTCAGGCCTTTTGCCTCCACCCAAGCCCCTCCCAATCCCCATCACCGCTACCATCAACAATATATTCTGATACAGTGAGTGTCCCTGGAGAGAAAAGGCAGCTCAAAGGGCTTGTTTGAGGATGCAGAGGAGCAAGCTCACCGGTTTTTGCCTTGGGCACAACAGGGATTGTAAATATGTATGAGTGTCAGATCTGTTTTTAGTATCAGTTGTCAAAATGAATCCCCTGAGCCTCACTGGCTGCCTCTGAGTCACTGTCCAGCTCCAGCTGTCCATCCTGCCCCAAGAGCTGGGGGAGGTCTGTCATCATCATCTGCATGTCCAGCTGGATGTACCAATTTTAATCCTTTCAGGATTAAAGCACTGCTGAGTAGAACTGGAGATAACTTGCTTTTGTCTGTGATGGCTTGAAGCCACACAATCCGGACATGATTCTTGTACTATTGGGATCAGAAGTTACTAAACTGTGAGACTGAAAGACACAAACTATACTGGGCAGCTCTAGGCTAATCCCTCTGGTCTGTTATCTGAGACTTTGCCTTTTCCTGGAATGATGCACAGTCCAGGACATAGCTATATTATTTGCTATAATTAACCCTCTGGAGGCCATTTACACGATAAGAAAACCTTTATTATACCCTGCGAGAATTTCTTGGATTACTTTCAATTTCCAGTGATCAGCTATTCAAGAATCTTGCAAAGAGATTCTTGTTAATGACTAAGGGGAAAGATGGTAAAAATGTTCTGATACGGGTAGGCTCAATTATTTTCCTTTTTTATTAACAAAGTATTAAATGTGGTGAAATGATAATATTTTAAACATAGTTCTAGAGAGTTTCATCCCCTGTGTTGGCTCAGAAAGTTCATGATGGCATTTCTTCCTTTCTAGACTGTTGATCCCACTCAAGAGTATTTCATCCCATGGGCTACACTAGGCCCCCACAAAGATGCAGAATTATAAAGTCCAGGAAACCCGAGTAGTGAAAATCCAGAAGGCCATCCTAATGTAGCCCTGGTGGGCTGCTGGGGAACCCACAGAGTCATACTGCCAACAAATTATCAGCTCATCCTTCCTTCTCTGCTTCCTGGTCCTCTCCATCCATCGGGACCCATCATCAGAAGACCGCCTCTTCAAGCATAATTACAATCTTGCTGGCCACCTTACCTGACTGTGTGTCTTTTTCTTCATTCCTGTAACTGAAAGATCCCCTTCCTTAGCAATGCTACAACAAATTGGCTCCTCTTACTAATGGGACCAAAAGACCCTGGTCTGAAGAAATTAGGGTCATGCTACTATGACAAAGTCTAGAGGTCAGTAGCAACTCACTATTGGAATACTTGTCATTTTTTATAAAAAGGCCCCTACATATGAGTGACCCAGTATTTGCAACAAAAGCCACAGCAGAATCTTCAGGATCCCCACAATTGGGCATTTTAAATAACGCGAACATTTCATGGACTTGCAAGGTGGCAGGCTTTCTCCCATGATGTCTGTACTCAGGACAGCGAGTATGATGGCATTTGTGGCTGAGGTTAGTGACCTGCTTTGGTGAACAAATAACAGCAAAGGAAGAACCACCGAGTTGATGCTCATAAAGGATTTTAGGTGGTGCACATAAAAAGCAGAGTCTGCCTGTCTTGATGTTTCTAATGAACCGATGCCTCTGAACTAATTACTTTGCCTTCATTCCTCATGCAGCCCCACGTCCGTCCCTATGGATTCATCTGTCCTTAATACCCATTTGTTACATGTAATAGGTAGAACAGGATCAGAGTCAGAGCTGTGCTGCCAGAATGGTTCTAAGGGTCCAATTCAGCCCTCTGACCTTGCAGATGAGGAAACAGAACCCTGGGGAAATGCAATGACTTGCCCAAAATCACACAGTAGTTAGTGATTTTCCAACCCACAAACAACTCTTTTTCCCAGTCCTGGAGGCTTCTCCATGCCTGTATTTCTATATTAACAAGTAAAGTGTGCTCCTCCCCTGAGAACCAAATGTGATATTTCAGACCAGTGAGTGTTGAGGGCCTGCTGTGTGAAAGATCTTTGAAACATAGCTAAGACTCCATGCATGAAAAAAAGCCTTTTTAATGACCAATTTCAATATCAGCAAGTATCTCCTGAGCATGTGCAAGGTACCAGGAACTTTTCTCAGACTCAGTCCTAGGCAAACAAGGCAGACAGCACTGCCTTGGTAGATCTTAAATTTTTTGTGGGGGAGATAACACAATGGAAAGAATTGTTTTTAAAGATTTTTTACTGATTTTTAGAGAGAGAGGAAGGGAGAGGGAGAGAGGGAGAGAGAGAGAAACATCAATGTGAGAACAAAACTTCCATCTGCTCCCTCCTGCATACCCCCTAGCAGGATTAAGCCCAAAACCTGGGCATGTGCCCTGACTGGGCATGGAACCTACAACCTTTCAGTGCATGGGACAGTGCTCAACCAACTGAGCCACACTGGCCAGGGAAACAACTCCCTCCTTTTAGAGACAAGGAAAGGGGACTTGCCCAGGATAACATGGCTTGTTAGTGATAGAACCAACTAGAATCCAGGTCCCCAGCTGCTGTCCAAGTGCTCACCCTCTACCCAATGTTCCATGTTCATATATTTTTCTGCTACACTCAAATTAACTTCTCCTTCTCGAAATCTGTGCCCTGAGCAATGTTCTCAGCACAAACCATCACCTAGGTAAATGATCAGAATTTGACCTTCTGTTCTTATTGGTAATAAAAAAAAAATTGAGGGAAAATGCTTAAGCATTAAAACTCAGACCTATTGATTAGAAAGGCCCTAATTTGAGAGGGAACAGTAAACCATGCAACCTCACATCTCTGGAAGAAAACCATCAGCACTGATCCTCCTCGTTTCTAATCCCAGAAGTGATGACAATGATACCTTTGACACAATTTTATTTTGTTTTGCAGGCAGGAAATGTTTCTGAGTTGGCTGACAAATTTTAATAAACACATTGAAGCCATATAAATAATGGCTGAAGTTGCTTCCCAAAATGTTTTCCCTAAAATTAGTAAAGGTGAAATTGAACCCCTCTGTACCAAATACCCTCTGAAGTGTATAGCACAATTTTACCAAATGTTGGGCTATGTATTAGTTAGATTTGGGGGGTTGTACAGTTGCAAGTGTTTCATTCAGGCTGGTTCAGGAATAAAGTCCTACGGTAAGGTTACACAAGGCAGCAGGGAGACAAAACCCTCTCTGGACCCAGTATAGTCATTCATGCGGCTTCATGGAGATGGACTACTGTCAGGCACTGGGAGGGGCTCCTTGTCTCCTGCCCTGGCCTGACAACCCCCTTTAGCCACTTTGACACTTTCCTCCTGTATGTCACAGTCAGACTCCTGAGAGGGGGCCTGATTGGTCCAGGTATTCGTCACTGTCTCTGGTTGGGAGTTCTTTTGCATTGGCCTGCCTCTTGATTTATAACCAGCCTGGTGATTGGCTGCCCTGGGGTCCAGTACCCACCACTGGCCCATTGAGCTCTGGCTGGCTCGGTCATGTGGTACAGACTTGGTCACATAAGTCTGCGTCCTTAGCGAGAAGCATCCTCTGGGCCGCAGGGGAAAGCATAACATGCACCATGAGTGACCAACTCAGGAGACATGAATCCAGGAAAATAACATTTTATGAAATTATAAAATATTTTAATGAAAATACAATTTTATTTCTCTCGAGTTTATGGAGCAATTCACATAAAGCTAAAAACCCCAATAGCCTTCTAACTTGAGACCCATGAGGAACCATTTAAAAGAAAAAATAAAAGAATAAATAAAACTATGATTAGGCTGTTGTACTCAGTTACTCAGTAAGTATTACTTGAAGATCTAAACTCATTTACTTGTGTGTAATGGGTTACATAGTTTGAAAAACACTTATTCTCTTAAGTATTTTAAATAGTTCTCTTCTGATTTTACTTGATTTTATAGATCTATCCAAAAGAAAGGGTATCAGTGAAAAACTTCACTATAAAATACCTTCCCGATGGAAATGGCTGGTTAGCTCAGTTAGAGCAGACTGCTAGGTATTATTTAATTTACTCTTCATCTTGATGCTTTTTTTTCCCCCTGATTCAAACAGCATCAAAGATATATGTCTCGCCACATTAAACCTCATGATCTCCCCATAAACTTAAAGGGTCCCTACTTACCATCCCTTATTTCAACCTGTGGTGTGGTCAGGCTAACTTTCCTTCATTCCCTCTACCCATTAATCCTTCATTCTTCTTTTAAATAAATGCTCCCCCTTCCTAGGATTCTATCTATTTCATCCTTCTACATCAATTCCAAGCCGACCTTTTCTCAGAAACTTCCTCTGGTGACATGGGGACATAGGGTTGTCACATGCCAAGACCAACTTAACTTATGGCAGAATGAGGTTCTCTCTTTTTTTTTTTTTTCCAAATAAAGATGGTAAACAAGATACTTCTGTAGCACCTTTCTCAGAATCAGCCTAATTACCTATTTGAAAAGCACACAATTCATGAGAAATAAACTAGAAAATCTATTTTGTTTCCTTGGTACAAAAAGCCTCCGTATTTTGCACTTGAGGGAGGTACTTCTCAGTTAACATTAAATGGGAGTGATAGCGAAGAACTTGACTATGAAAAGTAATACTTGACATCTGAGTAAAGAAATACTTTCCTTGGAATTGTTAAAAATGTCTTAATGGCTCAGGCCAGTTTTTAGCTACTGGTCTCTTGTGAGAGATCGTGTTTGCTACTCTTCCAAGACAGATTAGTTAGAATTAAGTTTGCATTTTAACATATAGCAGAATTCATTTATTTAATGAACTTCAAAGTGGTTACCTCTTATTACAATGCCTCTCCTGGATTGCCTTCAAGAATGTCTGAGGGAAATCAGTGGGATTGGATTACTATGGGGGTTAAACTGTCAGATTAAAGAAGTGAGTTGAATGATGAATTTCTAATATTGATCTTATCAAAATACTCTCCCATGTTGTGAACCAAATAGAAAAAGTTAATGTAAACTTTCAAGCCCTGGCCAGGTAGCTCAGTTGGTTGGAGCATGGTCCCAATAGCCAGGATTGCAGTTCAATCCCTGGTTGGGGCACATGCAAGAATCAGCCATTGAATGCACAGACAGATGGAGCAACAAATCGACATTTTCTCCCTCTCTCTGTCTCTCTCTCTCTAAAATCTATGAATAAAATTTAAAAAATAAACTCTTGAAAAATCCCAAGCCCCTCATTGCCCAATCTGTTTGCAGGCCTTGGACAATCCTCATAAACCCATGGGAGCAATGTGACAGCCACACCAGCCTGGGAAACCCAGCCCAATTGGAAAAAATTGTTCCTGTTTCGAAACAATGCAGGGTTATAAAACAAGCACATTAAACAGTCTGTTTTTATAAAATTTTGATGTGTTGTTTATCATGGACTCTTTTGCATTAATTTCGGTTATTAAAAATTTTGTATCAAATATTATTCATCTTGATTATTGAGGGTTTGGACACTCCCTTGAATTCTGTGCCCAAGGAAAATGTCTCACTCTCCTGACCCCAGCCTGACCCTGTGGATTAGACTTGCCCCCTGTAGAGGGGTGTAACTGGGGATGGAGAGGGAACCCCAGCTGCACTGTAGAATCACCTGGGAAGTTTTAAAAGCTCTCCATGGCCTGACCTCACCACAGACCAGTTACGTCAGAATTTCTGGGAGTGGAGCCCAGGCATGAGTATGTCTTAAAATCTTTCCAGATGATTCTGTTTTGCAGCCTGGGTTGCAAACCACTGCCATAAGCAGATATTTAGGGTTAGATGGAAGGAATGAGGAAGAGAGAGACGTCAGGATCCCCGCCTGGGTAACTGAGGGGATGGTGACTCCACTTGTAGAAGAGGTAACCCAGAAGGAGGGCTCGGGAAGACAAACAGGTGTGGGGTGGAAAGGACATGAGGACAGTGCTGAACCACTTACATGTGAGGCGGGAACACACAGATGGAGAGAAGGCTGTGAAGTTTCAGTAGACAGAGGGAAAGATTCAGGAATGAGCTCAGAGGTGGAGGAAGTTGTGGGGGGAGATGTGATGTATTGGGAGCATAAACAGAGGCCTCA